AACAGCAGGGGTTAGAGTTAAGTTAGGGTTGAGGTTGATACAGGGTCAATACAGATAGGTTCTAAGCAACCTAAGATGGACAATTTGTAGAATTGTTACACTATCCCCCCCTCTGTAGGCTAATAGTCCTTATCTGCAGTGTTTAAAAAGTATTTAGAACTACTTTAAAACTAATTTAGATAAGATATAATAAGTATAACTATCTTAACTAAATTTTCCTGTTACTAAGAAATAAACTAAAAACTTAATACTAATATAATGCCTTTGTTATAATGTTTTTGTTTAGTAGTAACTAGCAGTGTAGTTGTTGTTAACATAGTAAATTTATTATTTATAGCAATAAGTGTTTGCTTGCCTTACTTATATAGTCTAGTTAATGTTTTTAGTTTTTTTTTTAGCTATTATCTAAATCTTTACTTTATAAGTATTATTATGCACCTAACCTTCTATAGCTTAGTCTGCTAACTAATTATAGTATTAAAGAAATTTACTATGCTGCTCTGCCCCCCTTCTAAAGCCTCTTTAGAGGCGTATTAAGTTATCTGCTTTTAGGCTGCCTGCGCTCTTACCTATAGCCTTTAAGTTAAGTTTTCTTATTAGTCCTTTAAATTAAAGAAATGTAAATATTACACCTTACATAATAAAAAATGCAACCTTATATAAATATAGTCTAATACTGCTAGGGTATAGTTTACTAACACGCGCGTAGGTCTCTTTATATTACAAGAAGGAATTTCTAGTCCTTTAGAGCTATCTTAAGCTATAAGCAGCAGCCTAAAACACAGGGAGTAAAAAGGATAAAAAAAGAGCCTTTAAAGTTGTTTTAAAGTTTACTTAGAACCTAGCGTAGGTAGCGTAGGTTATAAAAAGTTAGGAAGCTAGACTTTATATAGCTAGTGTCTAGGTAGCCTTATTCTACTAAAACACTAAGCTGCTTTGTTAGGTTTTAGCTCTAAAGGCTCTAGTGTTTAACTTTTAGGCAGATATTACAGCGCTTTTAGGCAGCTAAGGATAAAGTAGAGAGAGTTTAAGAGGAGTCTAGAGGGGAGAGAAGAGGGGAGGGAGAAGAGGAAGAAAGGTAGAGGAGGAGGAAGAGAAGAGTCTAGAGGTGTCTAACAGCTTGCTGTTAGACTTCCTAAGCAACATGTCTATAAAGTTGTAATAATATTATGTAAAAATATAGTCTAACTTTTTACTTTTATACTGTATTATCTACTAAGTAATTTATACTCTTTACACTACCTTTAAAAGCTTTAATCTACTTTTATAAAGCCTTTAAAGGTTCTAGCTAATTTAGTTGCTTATTATAAAAAGCTTTTAATTTATAAAGAGAACCTATAAAATTTAAAGCCTTATACTAGACTAGATTAGAGTTGTGTCTTACTTATTTTACTTAGTACTTAAGGGTTTTCTAGTAAAGCTTGCTAGTAAGTATTTCCTTTACTTCTTACTTTTTTACTTTATTAATGGTAATTCTAGGGGGTTTTAGAGGTTCTTATTTTAGAAGAGGATCCTAGGGGTCTTTATAAAGCACTTTTAGTGCAAAGATGTTATGTATCTTTAACTCTAAAAGTAGTTCTAGGTAGTATAAGTTACTAACTTGCTTAAGTACCTTAAAAGAACCTTTTTATTAATTAGATAGTTTTTAGCTAGGTCTCTAAATAGCTAGGTTCTCTGTGCTTAGATAGACTATGTTGCTAACCTTCTAGTTAACTAGCTAGCAGTAGCAGTTAAGTCTAGTTTACATCTAATTCTAGGCCTTTTTTATATAGGTCTTTGCTAGCTCTTAGGCTGCGTGCATGCAGGTTGCTAATGCTAGGGCATCCTTCTAATTTAACTTGTCTGTAGCTATAATAAGTTCTATAGAATGTTTCTAGTCTTAGCTTTAACATAGTTTAGAGCTATATAGAACTTAATACAAAGACACTTTAATTATTGCATAAGGTAAAGTTATCTAAGCCTAATTAATTAGAGGCAGTAAAGAACTCTAGTTGTCTTAGTAAAAAAATATAAAAGGCCTTAGTCTTTAATTAATATACTTATTTATAATCTCTATTTAGCTATCTATTTTCTTATAATTAGTAGTAGAGAGCTTAACTTTTACGCTTAAAATTTAACAGAATTTAGACTAAAAACTAGATACAAACTAAGGTCCTTAATTAGAAATAATAGTTTTAGGTGTGTAGCTAAAACAGTACACTTATTAAATAAATAAAGCAGCTATTTTCTAGGCGTTAATTATTTTATAGCAGGGGATAGAAATAGCTTATTTTAATAAGTAATTAATTATAACTATAATCTAATTATATCTAGACTTGTCTTTAAAGAACTTCTTAAAGTTAATGCACAGGTGCTGCATTAGTTAAGCAGGAATTAGTAGGGGGTAGATAAAGCCTAGAGTTTAGGTCTGTTTTAGATAAGCCTTATAATAAGAGAGGTAATTCTGTATATATTATTTATAAGTAGCCTCTATACTCTTCTAGTAGTACTTTTAGGCTAGTAACTAATAGGTCTTAGTAGCACTTAGGTGTGCTAAGAATACTTAGTTATAGACTTTTTAGATAAGTTAGGTACACAGTAATAAGTCTGCTAGCACACATAAGCAGTTAGCATAAAGGAGTAGTCTGTTTCTAATTTAATAATAGCAAGGTAAGAATTCTTACTTCTATGTAAAAAAAGCTTAATTTTTTTAAAGTAATATATTAATTAATTCTAAAGAATCTAAAGACATAACCTAGTCTAGTCCTTCTATTACATTTAGTGTAGCTGCTTAAGTTGTTATTTAAGTAATATAGTACTAGGCTAGTTTAGAGTTAATTTAGAGGTGTAGTTAATGTAGTTCTAGTAGAACCTTTAACTTATTATTAGTTTAAGCTGCTCTTAAATTTTCTACATCTTATTTACAACAACTAAAAATGTCTGCCCTAGCGTTATTCTTACTAGGGGTGTACTTAATTTAGAAGCAATACTAAGCTAACTTTTTAGCTTAACAGACCTAACAAGCATTTAGCACTTTTATTATTATAAAGTACTTTAATAAATAATAATTAGTATATACTAGAGTGCTTATTGCTATAAATGTAAGCTTAGCCCTTTATTATTTAAACGCAGTAATAATTGCAAATAGCTTCTTATTATGTATCTCCTAGTTTAGCTCTAAACTAGATAGAACCTTACTATAGAACAATATAAGGCACTAATTTCTATCTACTTGTTCCTAAGAAAGGACTTCTGCTACTACTCTATTAAAAGCGTTAGTTTTAATTTTAGTTTACAACACAAAGTTAAAATAGTAGAGGGTAAGTATTTTTTATAGCTTAGACTTTAGCTTTTTAAAAGCCTTATTACACTTTAAAGTTTATATAAAAGGGGTAGTAAGACTTTAAAGCGTGATAATTAGTTTTACTATATAAAAGAATTTTAGAACAAATTGCTAATAGAATCTAGTAAATGAACCGCAGAAACAGGCATAAGGTTAGACCTGGGACAGTAGGGTTTTTTTCGCGCAAAGGGACGAAAACAGGTTCAAAAGCTACAGGCAGGCAGCGGTTAAGCTATATAGGCGTTGTGGCAGAAGAGAGAGTGGTTGAAAG